CCTCTGTTCGCGTGTCGGAAGGATGTCAAGTGATTTCTGTACTGTTCTTTGAAGTTAGTGGCTACTGAGTCCAATGTATGATTCTGTTGTTGTCCCAGTCGTTACAGTCGCTTCGTAAATCACGTTTTTTCTGAGGCAATTACCATCAAGAAACCGGAATGCCGTCTTGAAAGTAATTGCATGCAACCAACTAACTTCAAGGAACGGTGCAGAAATCACTTGACATCATGATCATTAAAATTGTGACTCGTTGAAATACTTCTAAGGACCACTGCTGACTTACTGCCCGGCGTCAGATAAAAGCTTTTAATCGGCCTTTTAATGATTTTTCATTGTTTTGAATTGCCAAGTAGTAGAGTGAGTTGATTTTTTTGCTAAACCAAGTTCAAAAAGCCAGGTAAAACTATATATAAATTATATATATATATATATACTTTCCCCATATACAGCAACTTGTATATAGCACCTCTATCTGTTGTTCGATTAGTTTACAGCTTGTTGACTGTTGTTCTTCTTCTCTTTGTTGAAGTAAACTGAATTACGTAGGCTAGTAGGCAATCCATAATTCGAGGTAGAACTTTCTCAGTTTGCCGGACAGCTACCGATGGCTACGATTGATGCACTTACCTATAATAATTTTTCAAATTAAAGTTTAATTACAAATAAAGTGAAAACAACGAAAGACAACCATTTCTCCGAGAAGACAAGTTTTTATTATGATTCACCAAACAATCAATTGGCCAAATAAACGTGTTCCTGTTTTTCTGTGTGACGCGCAATACCAAGCTCAGCCAAACTTTCAAATCGAAGCAGTTTTCTCGCCGCTTTTTTTTTTTTCCGAGATATGCTGTCTTCACTTGTCATGCAGGCCCGTAAGGAACGAATTTGAAAGTGAGAGGGGACAAAAGTTAGCAGTGCTGGTGGCGTAGTCTACTATTATATGAACCCAAGGCCCATTTTTGTAAAAGAGGGGATTTCGTGCCTTAGGGCCATGGTGATGTTCCATCCTTTAAGCATTGTATATGAGTCTTCTTTAGCTCTTAGCTGAGAAACTACTTCGATTTTGCTACTATTTTCTGCAATAAATCGACCTCGCAACAGACTTTATTTTGGATAAAACAATTGATACAATGGCAAATAACAACAGTAGGTAATAGTTAGTCATCTGAGCAATCCACTGATGAGGACTGATGATAGCCCCTTCTCCTCCATTGATATCACGTTACCATGTGGGTATTCTTGGTTTAAAACCACGTGACAAGGCGACCATGTTGGGGGTCAGTACAATAGAATTGTCTTCTCGAAGAATTTACATGAAAATAGAGGTTACTTCCCAGAGAAGAGACATGCTTTTGTTCTTGACCACCAAGATGGCCGCTGTGACGTCACCTGCAAACCAGAAGTATAAGGGTTCACTTTTCATTATATCTAAAAACAAAAGCCTTCGTATGCTCGCAAGCTTTTATTAAAATGACCTGTGTTAGGCAACAGAACAATGTTAATGAGTATTTATTGGCCATCAAATGTAACTTACATCATGTACTGGCCCTCATTATCCAACAATAAACATTGTTCGATTTTCAACAAGCCTTCGGAAAAGTAATATTTTTGCGCCCTGATTAGTTTTACCAAACTGAACTTATGACGTTTGTTAAACTTGATCAGTATACTATGAACATAGTGGCTTTTATGGTTATCAACAGCTGTTATTTATGCAGTGTATTTTCAAGATAAGTTCGCCGTGTACCTCGATCTCCAGTAAATTCCGCAGAACAGTAACGCTCTCTGATTGTCTTCTGGCTTTAAAAACCATTAGTCAAAAGAGTTTGTCGGTGTGATGTTGCCAGCAAGTGAGCTGTTCTCTTTAAGAATATGTGCCTGCTTCGTGGTCTTCATTGCCAGAGAACTAATTAGCTAACTGACTAGTTTTAGTGATATTTTCATTTTGTTTTATGATTATTAAACTTTTTAACATAAACAAATGATTTTGTTTGTGTCTTTACAATCTGCAATGAAACAGAAAACAATCTTAAAGGTGCAATTCGGACTAGGACATTTGTCTGGTTTTCTTATATATATCTTTTGTTATCAAGTTCGTTAGTAAATGTTCTTAGTCTAAGTCTTAGTTCAGGTACACAAGTGTAGTTGTTGTAATGTTCCTTTTACAGCTTGTCTCACTTCTGTCATCTTCCAGCAGTACAGCAATGGATTTAAGGCCGAGTTTAAAAACACTAAAGTAGCTGTAAATCTCCCGGCAAGAAACGTAGATAAAGGCATCCCCCTTTGAGGTGTTAAAGCTTCAGCTATAACTTGCGGCACATAACAAATAACCAATGTTACCTGCACCCACAGTGCACTGTACACTGCCTTTCTGTATCGAGCTTTATTCAGTGTATTTGCTTGGCTCGATTGCCCTTGAACAACATGGTTCTGACCATGAATTTGGTTATGACGCAGAGACATGAAGATTTTTGTGTAGGCACAGATTGTAGTGACTAAACAAAAAGCTCCAACAATATATTGGTACAATGAAACTATAGAAGGATTCAGAAAGGATGTAGATGCAAAGACAACGGACACAATCCAACCACCAATAGCAATTAAACGTGTTCTTTTCAAAGTTACAACTTGTCTGTATCTGAGACCCAGTAGCAAAGCAAGAAGTCTGTCCACGCTTATTGCAGTCACTGTTATCAACGACACTGAACACAAAATAAAACTTGCGAAATGTCCTAACAAAATTGTGTAATAACAAATATCCCTTCTTTTGTTCACCACGGATGTCAAATATGCAACGGTTAGAGGCTCGACAATGATACCAACGCAAAGATCGCTTATCGCTAGGTTACGATACAGGAGTTTGGATGACGGATGAATTGATGTGTCCTTGCGAAGGGCAACTAGGATCAGAGTATTCCCCCAAAATGCTGTAATTGACAAAAAAGTGTTAATGACAGAGAGAAAAACGAGCTCGCCATGTACCTCTCCAGTAAATTCCACAGAGCAGCGAAGTTCTGCAATTCTTTGCGAGTTTTCACCTCCAGTAAAATTTTTCATTTCCATGACTTTTCTGCGATGCGGCTACAGTCAACTGAACTCTTTTTTAAAATATCTGTCCTCCTTATATGACTGCTACATGCACCTTGTCAGCAAACAATTAAATATTTGCTCTGTATTTTCAGTTTATTAAACGATGGAATTGGACAATCTTGGTGTTGCCTTTGTGTTGCCGTACGATTAGCAAGCAAATAGCACAATTGCCTGGCTCTTAGAAAGCGAGTTAAACTGTTAGTAATAAAAAGTCTATTAACCATATCTTGATCGATATTTCTGTTAAGCATTTATTCAAATTGAGTAAAAAACGGTTTTCGTCAATTGCTAGAAGTTAAACTGACTCGCTCATAACGTCATCGCAGGCAGTGAGGTCTCAGTAACAATGTATAAATGTTCAAAATGGGCTCGAAAGTCTCGGCCATTTACGAGGTGGGAATTAAAGAAAATAAAACGTTCGTTCGAGCTTGGGAAATTAGAATGTAACCTGTTTTTATCATATAAAAATCAGGGAAAAAATTGAATTCGACGATTTTCTGAGAGCAATCAGCAGTTTTAGTAAACATAGTGGGAGCCAGAAAGAGAAAATTTTGCTAACGGAGGTGTTACGTTTGTGAGCCGAACATATGATATGCGGTGCCGTTAACTGCCGCTTAAAAGCCCTGGGATTATAAATCTTTGTAAGGGTTTTTAGAAGGGCTCTTGATAAATTAAACAGAGGGGCTTATATCCGAGGGGGATTATAACGGAACTGGAAAAAGCTGTTCGAAACAAGCTAACGCAGTGCTGATTTAAATATGTTTTACAGTTACTGGTAAAAGCTTCAAAATATCATAATAAATCAAGTTCATTTCAATGCAAGTTAGAGGGGAGCTTATATTGGCGAGCCTGTTACTGGTGGGGCTTATATTAAAGTGTTTCTGTATTTTGTAGCTTCAAATTGCTTGTGCCGGTTTTCTATAATCAGCTTTGACTGACGTTCACATGGATACCAGTACTAAATTGGCCACATTTTCTTCAGAAGAGGAAGTCTTAACCGAGTATATTCCCAAACATGTCAACCTTTGTGGGCTATAACTTTTATTAACATTTTGGGCGGTTTATTTGCAATTGCTTCAATTGCTATATTACTACGTCAAGATTATATCTTCATTTAATTGCTTTTTAAATTCATTTCCCCCGTTCACATCATCTACCGGTGCGTCCAATTCGGATCTGTTATATGAAAGGTAAAATATTTAAAATTAAAAACACCATGGTGACGTTCATTTCGATTGAGTATAGTGAACCCAAAATATCAACATGGAACTTGCACCATCATTCACCATCACATTTAGCTGTTCTGTTTTGTCTTAGAGAAAAATTAGCTCGCCATGTACCTCTCCTCGACTCTTCAGTGAATTTTGCAGAACAATACAGTTCTCTAATTGTTTGGTAGTTTGTCATTACCATGACTTTTCTCCGAGGCAATTACGTTCAAGCGAACCTTTTTCTAATATATCTGTTTTCCTTATGTGATAGCTTCATAATGTCACAAACCAATTAGATATGTGGGCTGTATTTTCATTTTATTAAACGAGAGAGTTATTGGCAATCTTGTTGCTGCCGTGCAATTGGCAAAACAACTAGCACAATTGTCTGGTTTTTAGAAAACGAGCTAAACTGTCATGATCAGTGATACAAAGTTTATTAACCGAGTCTTGATCAATACATCTGTAGAACAAAAATTCAAATTGATTAAAAAAGGCTTTTTTTAATGTACTATTAATCGCCTCATCCCAGCCAGGAAGTCTTAACAGTTATACAAATGTTCAAAAAATGGGCTAAATTATGTCTGGGTCAGTTTGTACCATATACTTACGAGATGAGAATTAAAGAGAAAAAAATGCTTAACGTTCGTTTTTGCTGCTACTATTTCTCTTTTTAAATCCAGATTAAAAACGTTTCTTCTTTGTTGATTAATAATTATTTGTAAATAATACTTGTTTTTTGCTGCATTTTGTCTGTTTTGTCCGTTTTGTTTTGCTTGCTTTTTATCCTAATTATATTTCAGTATGACTTTGCCGTTTATTTATTCATTATGTATAGTCTTAGTTTAGGGAGGGAGCTCATATAATAAGCCCCAAGGTTTCCATTTGAGCTTCAACGCCAGAAAATTGTTTTCACATTCTTTTACTTGCAATTTACGTCTCTTTAATCTTTAAATAAAGTTTTTGTAATATANTTGCTGCCGTGCAATTGGCAAAACAACTAGCACAATTGTCTGGTTTTTAGAAAACGAGCTAAACTGTCATGATCAGTGATACAAAGTTTATTAACCGAGTCTTGATCAATACATCTGTAGAACAAAAATTCAAATTGATTAAAAAAGGCTTTTTTTAATGTACTATTAATCGCCTCATCCCAGCCAGGAAGTCTTAACAGTTATACAAATGTTCAAAAAATGGGCTAAATTATGTCTGGGTCAGTTTGTACCATATACTTACGAGATGAGAATTAAAGAGAAAAAAATGCTTAACGTTCGTTTTTGCTGCTACTATTTCTCTTTTTAAATCCAGATTAAAAACGTTTCTTCTTTGTTGATTAATAATTATTTGTAAATAATACTTGTTTTTTGCTGCATTTTGTCTGTTTTGTCCGTTTTGTTTTGCTTGCTTTTTATCCTAATTATATTTCAGTATGACTTTGCCGTTTATTTATTCATTATGTATAGTCTTAGTTTAGGGAGGGAGCTCATATAATAAGCCCCAAGGTTTCCATTTGAGCTTCAACGCCAGAAAATTGTTTTCACATTCTTTTACTTGCAATTTACGTCTCTTTAATCTTTAAATAAAGTTTTTGTAATATATTGAATGTCTGTATGCATATGTATTTTTTTCTGGGAAAAAAATACACTAAAACTAAAGTGAGACTGAAACAGTTTCAGAGCTTAGGGAATTATTTGAATGTTACCTGTTTTTCATCATGATAATAGACATGAAAACAAATTCTTAAATCTGAGGATTGGCTGAGAGCAATGCAGTTTTATTAAACACAGAGTAAAAACGAGGAAATATAATGCAAAAACAAGATAATAAAATGTAAATAATATATATTATAGAATTGAGTCCAGTGATGAAAAGGCGCCGCCGAGCTTCACATCTAGGTAGATTTACTTTGTGGAATAATGGTCGCCAAGCTACACAACTCGGTAGATTTACTCTGTGGCACTACGGGCGCCTAGCTACACAACTCAGTAGATTTACTTTGTGGCACAACGGACGCCGAGCTAATTATAAACAACTCGATTCGATGTATGTACCAGGAATCGCACGCATTTACCAAAGAAAAATATGAAGGCTTAATCCAAAGTAAAATTTCACTCAGGGTGTAAAATTTCAGCAAACTTTTGAAAGATGAACGCTTTGGAAGATTCATTAAACACAGATCGATAGTAGACCTTCAGCAAACTCTTAAATATGTAAGCTTTACGAAGATTCAGCACTCTTGAAAAGATGAACGCTTTACGAAGACAGAATAGCAGACCTCAGCAAACGTTTGAAACGTGAACGCCGAGGACACACGAATCACCACGTGAGTTAGCGCGTCAAAGAGAGGCAAAACGTAAGCAAGCGCCTCAAAGCGAGGCAAATGTGTGTCGACACAAATGCAATCTCAAAAAAACCTCCCATATTAATTGCACAGGACACCCGATAATGAATAGGACACCCAACAGAAATTAGGGGTTGCGTTCTCGTACCTCGAAAGCAATGAACTTTAACCCACATATAAGAACCTGCTTGATCTTGCTTCGCTAAACAGGTTCTTTTATGATTGGGTAAATTAAAGTGGTTAATTTCTGCCAGCAGGTTTTTAAACCACTAGGTTCTTATACGCGGGTGTTTTCTGTAACACATTTAATCAGTGTAAATTAAGCCAGTAACTGAGTCACGTGATATACCGCTAGGCTGAATGGAAAACTGAAATTCTCCAGTGAAACAAATTCTGCTTGCGGCTTTCCCCATTTTACTGGAGTATATGGGCTTTGTGTATCGCAATGTTCGCTGTATAAAAAATGATTCAAGTAAAACCGTTCATTTCTTTTCGGGGAGGATTTTTTCCGTAAAGCAAGTTTTGGTTTGGAATGAATTTATAGCTAAAAAGCATGCACAGTAGACCATGGTAAACCAACCGCTCCATCGACGGACGAGTCGCCTTAATGTTTCTTTTACAGCTAATTTCACTTCTCTGATCTTCCAGCAATAAATAAAGGGGTTCAGTGATGAGTTTATAGAGAGATTAAGATTCACGTTTACGGCGGCAAACTGCAAACGTCAGTTGAGAATTTATGAAAATGGAAAATAAGCAGATAAAAACAGTCCGGAACGATTCTTTTGGATAAAACTGGCATAAAACTACTTATTTTTGTGTAGAAACAATAAACAGTAAACGAAAAATAAGGGGAAAACTTGGTCACGTGGTACAAATTCACGTTTGCCACTTTGACGTAAACGTGAATCTTAATCTCTCTTATATATACTAAAGTACTTGTAAATTGCCAACCAAGGTAATAGGATAAATGCATCCCTCTTTGATGTATTAAAGCTGTCGCTATGATAAGTGGCAGATAACAAACGACCAATGCTGCCTGCACCCACAGTGCACTGTACACTGCCTTTCTGTATCGAGCTATGTTCATTTGAATTGCTTGGCTTTCTNCTGGCATAAAACTACTTATTTTTGTGTAGAAACAATAAACAGTAAACGAAAAATAAGGGGAAAACTTGGTCACGTGGTACAAATTCACGTTTGCCACTTTGACGTAAACGTGAATCTTAATCTCTCTTATATATACTAAAGTACTTGTAAATTGCCAACCAAGGTAATAGGATAAATGCATCCCTCTTTGATGTATTAAAGCTGTCGCTATGATAAGTGGCAGATAACAAACGACCAATGCTGCCTGCACCCACAGTGCACTGTACACTGCCTTTCTGTATCGAGCTATGTTCATTTGAATTGCTTGGCTTTCTCCTTGTAAGTCGGTAGATCCGATGAATTTGGTTATGACGCAGACGGAAGAAAATTTTTGAGTAAGCGACGATTGTGATGGCTAAGCACAGCGCTGTAGCTGCGTAGTGAACATACTCTCGTATAGCTGTAGAAGCTGGTACGCCAACAACAGAAACAATCCAGAAGGCAAGTATAGCTATGTATGTCTTTTTCACAGTTACAACTTGTCTGTATCTGAGCCCCAGTAGTAAGGCGAGAAGTCTGTCCACACTTATTGCAGTCAGTGTTAATAAAGACACTCCACAAAAGGTATAAGCTGCCAAAGCAACCATCAAATGAGCCATATAACAAATATCCCATTTTCCAGTCACCACAGAAATCCAATAGACAACATGGAGAGGCTCCGCAATGGTACCAACACAGAAATCAGTTACGGCTAGGTTACGGTACAGGAGTTTGGACGGCGGGTGAAGTGAAGTTTCTTTGTGCAAAGCAACTAGGATCAGAGCGTTTCCCAGAACTGCAATAATCGACTGAAAGATGTTTACAATCAGAGAGAAAGATCAGTTCGCCTTGTACCTCTGCAGTAAATTCCGCAGAGCAGGATAGTACCACGATTGTTTTCTGGTTTTCACCTTCAGTGAAATTCTTCAGTGCCATTACAGGTCTGCCTCGCAACTACGCGCAAGTGAGTGCTATATTGATATAACGGTATGGGGCTCTCCTAAACTGTTTTACCTTTTATCATCAGAAACTAATATAAGCTAAGTGCACAGTATTTACTTATTTACCACTTGATTGAGGTGGCTCACCTTAGAGGTTCCATTTACAATTCTTTTCCGCTTAATGGAGAGGTTCAACTATATATATATAGCACAATTGTTTGATTAAAAAAAATTAGTCACGGCTTATGACTAATCTGTTATTATCAAAAAGATCATTGTATCAACTCAGTCTTGATCAACTTTACTGCTAAACAACATTTTCGTATAATTTATTCTTAATATCAAATTGCTTTAAAAAACGGTTTTAGTCACCAATTGCCTAGAGTTTGACTGACGCGCCTATATAGGGACACCAAAATCTTAGTGTTCAATTTTTAAAAAGCAATATTCAGGAGAAAGTATTATATTTGCGCCTCAATTATTTTACCAAACTGAACTAATGATGGATAGTTTTAATAATAACGTGACGGCTCTTTCGGTAGAAACCCCTGTTACTTTTCTTAATGCGTGTTTATTTGTCCTCGCCATTTTGTCTGCGATGTCATTGAACGACGCAGAAGTGAGTGGTTTATAGTTAAAGAGAAAAACACTTCTTTAACGGTGAAAGGTGATATCGATTCCTTATTTTAATAAAAACAAGAGTAGCTTGTGTGTAGACTTCTCCTAAATTCTCCTTCTAACTGAAAGTTTTCCTGAATACGAGAACTGGAAAAACTTTCGAAAGTGTGCCATTCAGTCGACATTTCCGAATATTCCGGTAACACAATCAAGTGGAATTTTAAATCCCTCCATAATTGTCAAAAATAGGAGTTATCCTCTTGTATATTATTTTCCCGGGGAAATTTTGAAAAATCTGAAATTTATACTGTTTTTCCATGCGTGCGTTACGTATAGGGATTTCTCGGAATTCTAAACCGAAGGTTTGCCTTCCAAACTAAAATATCGGGTAATTTTACTGAAAGTATATTTTTCGTTGTTTTATTTTGATTATTTCTTCATCTCTTCGTTGCCGTGAGGATCAGTTTGCCGTTGATATATTTCTTGCTTACTGACAACTAAAGGCGGAAACCCTAAGTGAAGCCCCCAAAGGTGAGAGGGGGGGGGGGGGGGGGGGGGGGGAAGCTGGCTATTTCACAGGGGTTGGAGGGGGGGGGGGGGGGGGGTAGTGGGGGGGGGGGCGGTTTGTGTTTTGGGTTTGTCTCTGTGCCTTGTCACTAGATTGAACCATGTGT